AAATTTACTCGTCAGCCTTGAAGATTATCTGTATTATCATATGTAAGTAGTTTTTATTTAAGGTGATGCTTGATATTTCAATAGATACTATATATTGATATCATTTGATTTAAGTAAAAAATAAGTGGGAATTCATTACATGTTGGATAATGCTGCAAGTAAAATTCACTGGGGAAATCATTAGAACAAACATCCCCACCTTTACCTGTACGTCATCATAGGAACTCACCATTAATTGCACGATCACAAGAATCACAAACGCAGTCATCACGTAACATTACGAATCACCCTATTCAATCTTTTCTCGTCCTATTCAAGCTATCTACAGTTTAACAAATTTTTGTTATTTTATCAAATAATTTTTGTTATAATTATTATTATAATTATTATTAATATATAATTCAAACGAGATCACTCAAAAAAAAATAAATAAAATTTCTTATTATATAATACTTCTTTAATACTCATTTTAAAATGTGATTGTTTATTTTTGATTACGTCCATAATATTTATAGAAATATAATTGTCATGATCAAGATTATGTAATTTACTTTACGATTTTATTTTTTTAGTTAATAAAAATGTATTCTTGATTGATGGAATAGTGATAGCATATTATGCTGTTAAATAATGCTGACCAGCCTATAAGTCAGTCTACCAGGACCCCTACCGTTAAACTGCAACATGAAATCATGTAATAATCATTCATTAAATGTTATTAGGTCAATTAAAAAAAAGTTTTAATAGAATAAATAAGCTTAATTGTCATGATCAGCTTTGTGATTGTGATGTAATATGTAATTTATTAGATGCTACTTTATTAAAATACATTACAACATTCCAAAAATATGAGGATCAGACAATATCAGTTATAGACAAGAAAATGGCGGTACTACAACCATATTAACTATGAAACTTGCAACATCACCAAAAGCTGAATTCTTAACAGAAATAGGTTAACCTACTAATGCAAAGTTTTGCATTATTCAATGTTACTTCATATGAGATTTATAATTGTCTTTTGAATAATGAAAGAATTCAAATTCGATTTTTTTTTTTTAGAAAAAAAAAATAGATCTTATGTATTAACGTTTTCGAAAAAATTTATGTTTTGGTACTACATTTCAAAAGATGAAAAACCTGGCTTTTTAAAATTTATATATCACCAGCCAGTTAAAGTTTTTGTAGCAGAATAATTACAAATTAATTAATTTTTAAGAATTAAATACATCGAGGATATTTATTCGGTAAAAAAATTTGTCTTTTGTACTTGCTGACAGGTTAATCATATTTTATAACCTGTTTTATATGATAATAATGCTTTGCAAAATTTCCAAAAATCAACAATATAAATTTCTGAATATATAGTATAATGAGAAAATATGTGAATAAAAAGACCTGCAATCTTAACTTAACCTTTTTTTCAATATAACTCACTCCACTCTCATTCTAAATTAAGAATATAAAATCTTTATTGATGCTACATTAATTTTTGAAGGATGAGATTTGGTCATCAGGGAATTTTCAATAATAAATAAAGATTTCCAAATTCTTAGTAAAAAAAAAAAAAAATGGTTAGAAGAAGTATCAAATGATAAAATAAGCAAGCCAATGATTAATTTTCATTACCAAAATTTTTTTTTATTCCAGAATACCATATAATTAATATGAATTTAAAAGCTCAAAGATGTTGGTTAAAATTTTTATTTGACAATAAGGTAAGAAAATCACACATTACATTATACATAAAACCATTCAGACGTCTAAGTATTAAAAGAATTGAATGAGAAATGACTAGACTAATAAACATATATTTTATTTATATCGATCTTTAATAGACAAATAAAAAATTTCACTATGAGATATACTGGGATGGAGACAAAAGTATTGCACGCTTTTATTTTTTTCAATAATTTTTTATTTTTTACAGAAACATACAATTTTTTTTATTTTTCAAAACTGACATTAATATTTAGTATGTTCTCTATTGGCATCAATCACAGCCTGAATTCTATTTGGCATTGATTGCACCAAGTTTCGGTACTCTTTTTGCAATATCACATCTCACGCTTCTTTTACCGCCTTTTTAAGCTCAGGAATGCTTGAAGGTTAAGGATTGCATTTTTGAATTTCTACCTCAACTACAGACCATATATTCTCAATTGGGTTAAGATCAGGACTTTGAGCAGGCCATGGAAGTAAATCTACCTTTTGAGAAAGCAAAAACTCTTATATAACCTTTGAAGTGTGAACTGGCATATTGTCTTCTTGAAAAATAAATTTTTTTTTTGTTTTTCAGGAAAATTTCTTGAGCGTTGGAATTGCATAAGTGGCAAAAATACCTTTATAAACTTTTCTAGTAACTGAACCTTTAAATAGTATAATGGATACCAACTTTAAAAACAAAAAATATGTCCAAAATATCCTTTGAGAAGAATATTTTACAGTCAATGCAATACAATCTTCATGAAATTCCTCTTCTGATTCTCGCCACACTCGTTTCCATCCAGATTTGTGAAATTAAAAAAAAGTGGACTTGTCTGTTCAGACTATTTTTTTCTAGTCTTCAATAGTCTAATCTTTTCTTTCTATTGCCTATGCAAGCCTTTTAGTTTTATTAATTGCTGAAATTAAAAGTTTCTTTTGAGAAATACAAGAAGACATATTTTCTCATGAAGTGCATAGTGAATAGTTCTTTTAGAAATTTGTTTATTATTTTTAGCAGAAGTTATTTTAGTAATATCTGCTAAATTTTTTCATTTCAATTCTTTGCTTTTAAGAACTTTAAACTTTAATTTTTGCCTTCCTTAATTATCGATTAAGCATGGTCAACCTGATCATTTTTTAAAAGGTACTTCTAATTTATAAACTGCAAGATATCTTGAAACAGTTGTTCAATGACATTTTACAGCTTTTGCAATCTCTGAATTTATGTGATCCAATTTATTGGCTGTTATTATGCCTCCCTTTTGCATAAGAGTTAATTCTTTAGTGAGGCTCATTACGTATTTATGTGTAAAAGTGAAAATTTTGGTTTTTTTAAAAAGTGAATTTATTAATTGCTACACATTTAATCAAAACAATAAACAAATTTTTTTTACTGAATAAATATCCTCAATGCATTTAATTCTTAAAAATTAATTAATTTGTAATTGTTTCACTGCAAAAACGTTAACTGGCCAGTGATGTATAAATTTTAAAAAGCCAGGTTTTTCATCTTTTGAAATGTAGTACTAAAACATAAATTTTTTCGAAAATGTTAATACATAAGATCTATTTTTTTTTTTAAAAAAAAAAAATCAAATTTGATTTTTTCATTATTTAAAAGACAATTATAAATCTCATATGAAGTAACATTGAATAATGCAAAACTTTGCATTAATAGGTTAACCTATTTCTGTTAAGAATTCAGCTTTTGGTGATGTTGCAAATTTCATAGTTTATATGATTATAGTACCATCATTTCTTTGTCTATAATTGATATTGTCTGATCCTCATATTTTTGGAATGTTGTAATATATTTTAATAAAGTAGCATCTAATAAATTACATATTACATCACAATCACAAAGCTGATCATGACAATTAAGCTTATTTATTCTATTAAAACTTTTTTTTAATTGACCTAATAACATTTAATGAATGATCATTATATGATTTCATGCTGCGGTTTAATGGTAGGGTCCTGGTAGACTGACTTATAGGCTGGTCTGAACTGAGTCAGCATTATTCAACAGCATTATATACTATCACTATTCCATCAATCAAGAATACATTTTTATTAACTAGAAAAATGAAATCGCAAAGTAAATTACATAATCTTGATCATGACAATTATATTTCTATAAATATTATGAGCGTAATTAAAAATAAATAATCACACTTTAAAATGAGTATTAAAGAAGTATTGTATAGTAAGAAATTTTATTTATTTTTTTTGAGTGATCTCGTTTGAATTAAATATTAACAATAATTATAATAATAATTATGACAAAAATTATTTGATAAAATAACGAAAATTTGTTAAACTGTAGATGGCTTGAACATTACGAGAAAAATTGAATAGAGTGATTCGTAATGTCACGTGATGACTGCGTTTGTAATTCTTGTTATCGTGCAATTAATAGTGAGTTCCTATGATAATGTACAGGCAAAGGTGGGAATGGTTGTTCTAATGATTCCCCAATAAATTTTACTTGTAGCATTATCCAATATGTAATGAAATTCACACTCATTTTTTACTTAAATCAAATGATATCAATATATAGTATCTATTGAAATATCAAGTATCACCTTAAATAAAAGCTACTTACATATGATAATACAGATAATCTTCAAGGCTGACGAGTAAATTTTAAGCAAATGACCTTCATAATTTACAAACACATTTATGAATATGAAAAAGAAAAAAACTTTTTATGAAAAAAAAATACTCAATGGATCTACAGGATATAATCGATACGTTATCTTGATATTTTTCTAAAAAAAAAGGAACCTTATCCTTTATATGAGCATTTCCTTCAGGAAGTATTGTAAGTATCTGTATTTAATTTGTCTCTGTTGGAATCTTAAAGTTTATCATTAGACGATTATTTCAAACTTCTGATCTTCTTTAATGCTTGATATACCCTCAGCAGATCAATAATGAACGAACCAGGTTTCAATGTTATTCTCTTTCAAGAGTATTATTATTAAAAGGACGTTCAAAATAAGGAATCGTGTATGACTTCATAATTTGAAAGTCAAACATCAAAGAACGGCATTTTCACATATTTAAACAGCTCTCTTAAATCCTGTTGCAAATCTTTTCATAACAGATATGACAAAGTATAATAATGTTAATAAAGTAATAATAGAAATATTGTGATATTTATATGAATATTACCAATATATTTAACTAATATAGAAAATAAATATCATACCAATATTCTAACATCTGCTTAAGAGTCGTCGCCATTCATACAAGATACATAAATTTGATCTATCTGTTCAAAATAATGCTTACATTCTACTGTTTTTCCTGTAAAAATAAAAAAAGTCAAATTTTAATTGGAAATGATAATAAAATCAATATGATAAATATATTGAATATAAATGCACTTACTTTCTTATTTGTATAAAATGCCTATGAGAATACCATGTTTCCTGTCTTTGTTCTATAGCTTTTATTTTCGTATTTATCCATAGTTTTCTAGTCAACCATTCCTGTCAAAAACCTTTTTAATATAAAATGTAAATTAATATTTACATAAATAGATTATTCTGAATAATACAGGATATTATTCACCTAATTAC